CCCTTATCAAGTCTATATTTCGTCTTCTTGGGTCCTTTCGCCCTCACCTCACGCCAACATGTGACCAGGGGGCATTATCATGCCATTATGCACCTACCTACACCCCAAACGCCATGATATATGACGGTTTTTTGTGTCTTATCCCGAGACAAGTGCTTACTTCTCTCGCATGAAATAAAGCTATTTGTATTGGTGTGAAGGCTGCTTTGCTGATAGATTTCATGTCCACAGGTCAAATGCTCTGGCAACCCAGGAGATGGGCCCTGCACAAATTGCGCGAGACTGGATTTGACATGCAATTTTGCCAACACGGAAGATGAAGAGGCTGCAAGTAAGCTCGTACCCTACAGTTTGAAATTGATAGACGTCGCGTTCTCAAATCAGATTTCTCAAAAAGTATTGACTGGCGTCAACTATAGTATCAAGAACAACACCATCTCACAGCCATACAGAGGCCGGAACTTTGAGGAAGAGGGCACAAAGGGCGTGCAGCCAATGCCATTCTCACAAAACTAAATGTTCGGGTGATTTACCACGATGTAAGAGATGTGAAGCTGGTGGGTTGCCTTGCGAGTATACGCCAGCCAAGAGGAGGTTCACCAATGTTCGGTTTCAAAATGCAAGCAATGCCGCAGGAAGTTCCAGCAATGCCAACAATGCTCCCGAGGCAAACTTGTCCACTTCGGGAACCGCCAGCAGGTCAGACACTGTTACTAGTCCGGCATCGAGTACCGGAAGTACCAACCATAATCATTTTGCTCTCATAACAGAAGGTTCAAATTTGACGTCTGAGTATGTTGCGCCCCATCACAGTCATTACACCTCAGGCTGCTAACACGGTTGATGTAGAGAAATGCTAGTACGTCGGGATATACTCCTGAGGCATGTGGACGCCTACATGGACAACATGTACTGGCTGCCGTGCCAAGGGTTTTTGCACCCAGATACCACCTACAAAGAAATTCAGGAAGGCACATTTGACCCTGTTGTAGCAGCGGCCGTGTGCGGTATCACGGCGGTCTTCGTGAGTCCCAGCGATTCTGGTGGCGAGTTCGGTGTCAAATGCAGCGCTCATGTCGAAATGTACCTGTTTCAAAACATTTACAAGTTCTCCGACGATCTTCTAGTTCTCTTTGCATTAAGTATCACATTCAACCTTATTCGTGGAGAATTTGCCAAGCTTTGGCAATCCTTTGGTGTCGCCTCGAGGCTGATGCTAGGTCTACGGGTCAACTGGGATGTACTGCCCCAAAATCAAACGTTTGCTCAGCAAGAGTGTTTGCGACGTATCGCTTGGCAGCTTTTCTACTTGGATCGCATGCTAGCGGGTGGGTATGAAGAGTACATCTCTTGTCGTGCCGAAAATATGCAAATTGCCTTGCCATGCTCGGAAGCAGCGTTTCGAGAAAACAGACCAATCAATGCCGAGAGATTGTATGACAAGCCTGGAAGTCATCCCAGTACCATCAATTTACATGGGTACCAGCTTCGTCTTATTGATCTGCGACACCGTATACAAGTGTAAGTGGCTTTGTTGGTATATGCGCTGAAATCCTGGCGGGGGAAACTAATAACCCATTTGCGTCCAGAACTACAAAGCGACTTTGCAGCTCAAGCTCTCCATCGCAGTCGCAACTCGACGCGTCAAAAGTAATGGCGGACATTAATAGACTCCAAAATGAGCTGACTCGATTCCACATGTCGTTGCCCCCCGAAATCCTTCTGAGTGACCAAACCGTCGCTAAGTATATGGCGTCCCCCGAACGAGCCGGCTACGTGTTTCTGCACACTCACTTGGCCGTCAGCCACATCGATTTATACCGGTTCTCATTGCCAGGTCAGAGGGACAAGGTATCGGTAGAGATTCTCCGCAAGCTCCCGAGGGAGTTCATAGCTCGGTCGCAGAAACAGGCAGTTGCTCATGCAATGTGCCTAGGCCGTTTTTGCGATGCAATTCAAAACGAGGTAGACCAGATGCATGATACAGGGAAGCTTAAGCTTGCGGGCGATCATTCCACATTTCAAATGTCAACCCAATGCGTTCGCGTGCTGCTAGTAGCTCTGCAGTATGGGCTTTACCGAGACATCGCTGATGTTACGACGGCACCATTATGGCGGAGCGTTGAGGTCGACGAGGCACATATTCGGTTTCTTATTGATTCAGTTCAAAGAGTTACCAGGCCATGGTGTGACATATTGAACGTTGCACAACAGGCGGTACGTCTCCTTGATATGTTTGTTCCATGGGTTTTGTCCACTAACCTTGCGTTGACATGTAGTACAACCACAACGCGACACTAGTTGAAGACTTCAGCAAGACCCGGAAAGTGGCGGACCAGAGAGCTGCCGTGAGCATGTTTGGGTCCAAATCCGAAGGTTCAACCCGCTTCCCAGGCCCCGACGCCATTCTCGAGAGCATCGCTACCGGCAAACCTGAAGAATATCACAGACGAATGGCATCGCACAGTCCTTCCGACTCGACACGGTGGCTTGGATCCCATCCGTCATCGCCAACTCCAAACATGTTTGCCACAAAGGCCGGAACTCAAACAACCGAGGCAAGTCAAGGGGATGCTGCACCAGGTATCCCACTGTTCCTTGCCCAAGCAAGAAATAGGCCTGGCAGTGCTACACAAGATCCGCTTACGTACGACGCTGAAAACTCTTTAATGCCAATGGGAGATTTGGATGCTGTGCTGCCAGACACAAACCCGCTTATGAATGTTGAGGGCGTGCCTATGTCAGGGATGCATAGCGGTGACCCATCCACGTTTCAACAGGCGATACCGCAACCAAGTGCAGGCTTCCTAATGGCTCAGCAGAGCGTGTTTGGCGGCGATGTCTTTATGGAACACTATATGAATCGACAACACGGCCAGGGCGGTTATTCACAACCTCCTGGTGGCTATTAGACAGAGACAAGCACTTGCGCCGCGGCCAGACACAACAGGCCCCTTGGATAGACTGAATGATGATACACCTGATGTTTGGGGTAAATCCAATGGGCAATCAGATGGACAAACGCTACCCAACCGCTACCGAACCCAAGGAAGTTCCGTACCATGTGCGCGCGCGCGCGATGACTGTCTGGCGCAGGATGCAATAGCACATGGACTACTGAAATCTCACGTCAATCGTAAGACGAAACGACTTGCTAACGGCCAATAAGGCCGTCAATCTTACAACTCGTTGGTCTTGGACAAAAGGACCATACGCCCCAACCCAACAACCGTCTTGGCTACTCGCAAAATAAGTTGCGCTACTCTACGGCGTTTCCTTCTCATAGCATTTTTGCGTTTATTTTTGCACATTTCGCAGGGAAATTTGGGTTCATTCTTCTGGCGTTTGGTAAGAGATGCTACAACTTTTTTTTTTTCCTACGCGTACAAAAAAGAACCCCCATATATGGCGTACAGATGATATTGATGGGATGGACTAGCGTGTTTTGCTTATTGTATACCAACACTTACTGGATGTCATGTACCTTGAGCCAGATGCTTCTAATACACATGCTATCCGTGAATGTAATCAATATGTCCATGTCTAGCCTTGCATTCACCAACCCGCCTTGTGACGCAGGACATGACTGCCTACCTAGGTATTTGGGCCAGGTAGGTACTAGTTACCATGAGTTGCACTGAGACGCGTCAGGAGCTTTACGCAATCTGCTCCAGATTGTCTTGACCGAGCCAGCTCGCAGCCCCGTTCTACTTGAACCCTTTTACGATATCGAAATGCACGGCCCGGCGCCATCTTGGTGCCGTGCACAAGGGAGCCAGCCAGCCAGTTGACTTGACTTTGCATAGAAAGAAGCAAAATCAGGGAGCTTCTATGCTCGACACGAACGAGGGGCATGCAGCTCAGCTTCCTGCTTGTGCCGGAGGACCGCGAACCTAGACTGGTCGTAACGGCAATGTTTTTGGCGTGTACGCACCAGACTTGTTCTGACGCTGCCAGTGGGCACTGGCATGTATGTATGTATGTGTTCGCCACTTGCATTTTGCTGCTGTCCATGACAGCCTCGATAAATCAAACTTGCGCTAGTGGCTGACGGAGAACAAAGTGTTCCATGTCGCCTTTCACAGTACAAAGCACGGCTAAAGCCGTCTGCATTGCAGGGATAATGCGCAACCAGGGTACTTGAATGACGCCATTTACATCAACCTCAAAAAAACATGTTCGTAAAAACAGTACATATGTACTTTGTATAATTATACACTATTGAATATACAACTATACCACATTGGAGGCAGTAGCTCCATATCTAGCTAGGGACACGGCCTTTGCCTCCAGTATTGTGCAACCTTCCGTCCGTTGTTGCTATATACTTGCCCGCCTCCTTCTGATATCAACTGTCCAATGGCTGCGGTTTCCTCTCACTAATTGACGTGTGGTGCTTGGGGGGCCAGCTGGTAACACAGCACGAACTTGGCTTGCCGCTTTGTGCCCATTTCTGCACCGCATCATCATTCCACCCGTCATCAGATGAGAAATTGAGAGTAGGCCCAGTCATCAACAGCAGACCCTGTCGCGCAAGAGCCCAATGAACCAGTATCACATCAGTTACACATACCATGTCTATGAATGTGTTTTAATCGTAGAGTATTTGTCGTTAGTTACTTGAAGGTGTAAATCGCGAAAATTAGAAACAGATACGAGACGATCCAAGAGAAACAGTTGCGCTTGTGATTGATTTGAAGGGGGTAGAAGTTGCGGAACGCTTGTCGAGTGATGCAAAAAAAAGTGGCCGGTATCGAGTACTGTTTGCCAACTCGAGTCGTTTTATTAGTCCACGTTGCAACTGTTGCCGGCAGCTTTTCCTGTAGTATTATTGGTGCAGTACCACAAGTTGACCTATTGCCTCGCAAAAGTGTATTTGTGATCGGCTGAGACGTAAGAAAACGGGCAAAAAGAAAAACAAAACCAATGAATTCTTGTTAAGGAAAGGCTGAGAAGTCGAAAAATGGATGGAGAAAAATGAAATGATCCCGCTCATTATATTATTGGAACAAGTTCCGGTCCTTCTCCTTCAATCCGCCAATGTTATCCATGTCAATGGACTGAAACTGACCCTTGGACTCCTTCTCGTATGCTGGCAGTTGTTCGTCATGCATGGGCTCGAGACCGACAGCGGCGTTGTCACCAACACGCACCACAAGAACGCGACCGCTCTTGGGACGTCCATTCTCGTCATGTTCTTCGGGGAATGTAATATGGATTTGCGGAACGTTGTCGGGAGAATGAGGGGGCGAGTGAGGGTTTTGAAGCATTGGCTGGCCGTCACGGTCGATGTAGAAGACGCTCGACCGGCCATTGTGAGTTGTTTCGATGGTCAAGCCGCGGGGGTTAGTCTGCTTGACGTCTTCATAAGTAGGCAGGGTGCCGTTACGCAGATGCTGTAGGCGGCGGCGTCGGTGGAATAGGTAGAGAAGCGAGGCGAGAATGAGGGCTGCAAAAACAAGGCCCAGGATGACGAGCATTAAGTCAATCAGGTGATTCTGGCCGTCGTCGTTACGGCGGGAGATGGTTGAAAATGAACGGATGGCGAGCCGTTTGCTGCCAACGAGGAGTGACCTCCAGGGCTGTGTTGCAAAGTGTCCGTCGGTGGAAGGCATCGCGCTGCGAGCCGAGATAGAGCTCCCCTCAACGAAGGGGCTCAGGGCATCCCGTGTTAGAAAGGTGGGAGGCATGATGAAGACGAGTTATTGCCAATGCGCAGCCGTCGATAATAAATGAATGGAAGATCTGCAACCAGTGGTCCATATGTTAGCAGTCCAATATGCAGTACTAGAACACAGTAAAGCGCGATGAGTATTGAATTTCTCGCGACCCCATGACGCTCACGATAGCGAGAAAATCCATTCCAACGATGAACCCATTGCCGCATGTGCCAACGAGCTCTCGCGGTGAGCGGGAGCAGGCGTGCGAGACAATTTGCATATGCATGGACATTATGGTTCGCGTTTGGCGTTTGGCGGCGGTCGAAGGTCGAAGGTCAAGGCCGTCATACGTAGCCCGTTTTGGCTAGGCCCAACCCGCCCTCCGAATCCAATATGTACCACCTCCATACCGTCCATTGTCGCAGACGAAGAATAGCAAGACAAATACATAGCAGCGAACAGGGCAGCGCGTAGATCAAACGGTCAAGACTCACGTTGGGTAAGGTTCTGCCAGGCTGGAATACAAGGAGCCGATCAAGATCGAAACGCATTCATAACAATGACAAGCTGACGAGGGCAAGTTTTCTTGGTCGTTGGGACACGAGTTCGTATACGTAGTTGGTGAGGGTGTTTCGGAAGGATTGGACGGATCTTCAGCTAAAGGAATGGAGCTGAAAGTATCCAGAACTTGTCAAAAGAATGAAACAAGCTCTTGGAAGAAGAAAATAGTAACAGTTTTCAACAAGGAATGTCAGTAAGAAGAGAGCAAAAAGGCTCGAAGCGAAGGGCCTTTGCTCAAAGGTTGCCCGCCAGCAAATGGGTGCAGGAAATGAGTGAGCGAGGAGAGGGAGAGGGAGTGAAGCGGACCGGAGTAGAAGGGGAAAGCAAAAGGAGATGGATGGCCAAGACGGCCAAGCCAGGGACAAGACAGGCAGGGAAAGAATGAACGGCCTGGGATACGGGACTGCTGCTTGATTGGCCTCCTCGGCCTGGCTGAGCGTCTACGGGTCTCATTATTGATCCTGTTTTGGTGCTTCAGCGCTTCCATGACGGGCGAATCGCCGGAGACGTGATCAAGCTAAACCGCTTCTGCCCCTTGCCGATGGGACGAAGCACACAAACAAAGAACGCACGACCGGGCCAAAACTGCTCTCTGTCTGTCTGTGAGCCAGGCACATCCAGGCTTGGGCCCCAAGTTGGAAGGGGCGATGGATACTTTGCAAAACCCCGTATCCACAGTCAAAATGAACATGACGCCTAAAATTGGGTCACCTGCAGGGGCCGCCTCAGCAGCCATTGGCTTCTGCTCGGCGTTTCAATCCCATGCAACCAATCAAGTCGGTCCCGTGGACGAGACCCTGGCGATACTATTTCCTTCCCGTTTGTGTCGACGGCCTGGCTGCCAAATGGCATTAGCCATGATATGTACGCGATGAGTGTATGTACACATAGAGTACGTATTAGTGCTGGGAATACATACTTGGCTATGTAGTATCGGCTGGCGTATCTTTTACTGGCTTGAATATTCCCCGACCGTTGTGCCTGTCATGTCAACGGGTCACCACCGTTGTCTGGCACATTGCATGTATTGTACATAAATAAAAACTCCGCAGCTTGTCAATTGGTGCAAGAGCCTTCGACAGTCCGTGCATTACCCCTGGCTAACGTGCGCGCTAAGCCGACTTTGGACGCGCACATCCGCCAACCTGAAGTGACCTGACCCCTCAGGTGTGTGTGAAAACACCGCCTTTTCAAAACATTTCTTCGATTCAAAAAATGAAGCTCGATAGAAGCTTGTGATTACTGTACACAAATGCGGTACCGAGTCCAGTCACAGTATGCACAATACAACCCTTTCATGCTGTGTGCACTTCAGTCGGCGCCGTATTATTTGCTGTTTTGGCGCCCGGCCCGTGGTTGGTAACTTGTCGCGTTGCACCATGTCACAGATATATAATGTGACAAGGATCTAGCAAAAACGACAACATGTCGTGATGACCACTGCTACAATACATCTTGCAGCCGGGTCTAGGAGCTATTAATGGAGTGTTCACGAAGGAGCCCCAAGTTGAAATTGGGTTTTCCAAATATTTGCTCAAACATTTCTGTCTCACGGGGAGCTCTGATTCTCGCACATGGCGCCCGCCAGCAAATTTAGAATCAAACACTGACGTCGACCGCCCCAAACACGTCTGTAACACATCTGTTCGTCCGTTGTGATACCCTAGGAGAAGAGACAAACGACAGTTCGGTCCATCTCCGTCCCGTCTTTTTCCTCGGCTGAATTCCAAAACCTCATACAAGACATAATCGTGGACGTAACTCCCTCGGCTTTGAGAAAGGTCCTTGAAACCACTTTGGCAGCGTGACAACCCAACTTGTCACATGTCCTATATGAAACACATTTCATCTGTCCCTGCCTTTTGTCTGTTTAGCTGACTGTTCACTGTGCCTCGCAAGGCAATACGTTGGCCAGTCACACCAGCCATGACTGTTGCAAGGACTCGCAAATGACTCCCCGTCCCTTCGCTCTCAAACCTCAATGTCAGAGTCCCAACTTCACATCGCTCGTAGCAAAGTGGTGTTGTGCAAGTTTCCTACATACCGCTGCCTTGGCTAATTCCAACCTACATGCATGTAGGTTGCTAGATGGCGCAACATCCATTGTTGAACTCTGCTGGTAAGTCCAACCCCGTGACCTGTAATACGAATTTCGCCATCATCTGGCAACCATCTTTTGGGTTGGAATCCAGCGCCACACTTGCACGCAAGGGGTAACCTACTATGCAGTAAGGGCACCAGGAGGGCACTCGATGCAACCCTGCACCGCTCACAAACCTAGCCTAAACTCCCTCTCGATGCTAGGTCCCATCATGTTCTCTCCGCCTCTCGCTCACCTGGTCAATCAGGTAGTCGGTTGGATGCGTATGCCGCTGTAGATTTTAGCTTGAAATGCTACTCCGCCACTTTGCGGATGGCGATTTGTAGAGGCTGTCATTACATTCAGTGTCAGGCATCACAAGATCTGTCTAGGAGTGGTCTTACTGTCATGGTCTCCAACTGCCGCGCACGATCCTGAAGTGGGAGGCTCGAGAATCTAGATTCGCCCCGGTCCAGATAATGTGACTCAAAAGCGCCTTCATTCGTCCTAGGACACATGTTTAAGATGTGAGTAGTAGATGCCACCCACCGTCAAGTCGGAAGCAGCCGTAGTGGTGTCGCGAGCCACGTCCAACCATGGGACAAACCTTGGGAGCATGCTTCTGAACTTCAGGTTTCATTTAGCCCCAGACCGCAATACGAGACTCTAGAACCTCGATGCTAGAGTTCCATCTGATTTTGCTCACAAGCACCGGGACACCTGTCAGGCGCACTGCACTGGGCAAAACGACCCAATTCTATCTCCCATCAATATGTCAAACTGAACACCCTTGGTTAAGAAACTTAAGATGATACTTACCTCGGCTCACCGTACGACTGTCCTCTCACAGATGTCGCAGACGTCTCGACAGCATACGCCGGCCCGAACAAATATCATGGCGCCCGTCACCGCAGTCCCGAGACCAACTCAACGGTCATGAGCGTCCGCGTGACCAAAAAAGCAGTTCCAGTACGAATTGGCTGCCATATTCAAGTGCTTTGGACACCCCGTCGTTTAGAGTTCGGAGAAGCCATGTGTTTGTTTCAACATAGATGTTGGGCAAACTGGTGGGATTTCACAAGTAAAGGAGAGGAATTCTATTCACCCTCGTGTAAGGGCCTCATCGTTTGATACCGCGGAGAACACGGATACTAAATTTGCCACGGTTGCTCAACACATGACCAAGAGCACCTCATATGTTTGGTATGCTGAGCGAATTGAAGGCTCTTCTTCGCCTTTAAGACATGATCCATACTTCAAATATAATTGGAGGCTCCAAGTTGCTGTTTGATAGATTACATGAACGAAATGTTGAGCAGAGAGCCGGCGGAGTGGCTCATCAATTGCAGTGACCGAGGCCTACAGTTTAAAGTACAAGAGGAAGGACTTGTAAAACGTGAAGAGCAGTCATGGAATAACCATGATCGTTACAAATGATCGTTGTTGTGTACACGACGACAGGTATCAGATCATTGGCTACGTTTACTTGAATTGCCTTACACCGTTCTCGCCCAAGTTTGTTGCTTAGTAGACGGGAAGTTGGCAGCTTCGAGTCATGCGAGGGGCCCCAGTCTATTGAAGTGATACGTGAGTGAAGCACAACGGTGAGTTATTTAACCACAGAGGTGGAGTGAGAGATGTCGAATTCGTGGTGAGGACAGATAATGCACGCACTCATAAACCGTAGGAAGAACCCGTAACCGCCATCATTTTGGAAAGCAGCCTATAGCCATGGGGGAAACAACTAAAAACAGATGGAGAACTCGGCGAATCGACGGCAAGTGACAAAAAATAAATTCATGACATAAAACAATAGGACGGGTCCTGTGGCCCTCCCAACTATCATTGTGACAGTCATATAGTCACGAATGGCCATTTGTTGCATGTTTTCGCTTTCTCCGTGAGGCCGCAACAAGAGGTCATTGAGGGTTTCCGGTACCAAGCGGCTGTTATCCGGAGAGAGAAAGAGTTCAGAATATAACACAACGTATGAGTTACAGATGAGAAGCGCCGAGCGAGTATTTCGGATGGCAGCATTGAGCGCAAAACCTGATAACCTCCCTTGTTCGCTTGTGAGCGGGACGGGCTTGATGCTGCGCAGGTGACCAACCATTTCAATACCACAGACAGGGTGGATGACAGTGTTGTTGGCCTCGACATAATAAGGTCGATTGAGTGGGTGTGTGGAATTTGGATTCGGGTAACTGACGGGCACCCGTACCATGTTTCGGTCGATCTGGCGATAATGCTAGGTGCCATGTTGCCGCTTCTCCTACGTTGTAGTCCCAGAAACACCGCCAAGGGAACGTCCTCTGGGCAAATCGACTGACCCCTCTTCGGGTTGTGCAAGGGCCACTTAGTACCGCGAGTCAATGCTCGGAGGGCTGTT